TTTTTAGATGAATTACAGGAGTTCAAGAAAGGAGTGCTAGAAGTGCTGAGGCAGCCTTTGGAAGAGAGAACCATTACTATTTCAAGGGCCAAATACACCATTTCTTATCCCTGTAGTTTTATGTTAGTGGCCAGTATGAACCCGAGCAAGAACGGTTCTTTCCCGAGCGAGCGCACACTTTATGAATACAGTGGTGAGGAGGCCCAACATTATGTATCTAAGATTTCTGGGCCTTTACTGGATAGAATAGATTTGCAAGTAGCCGTACAGGCAGTTTCCTATGAGCACCTGTCCAAGGATCAGGTCATTGAAACCAGTGAAACCATTCTTAAGAGGGTCCAGGAAGTTAGAAAAATACAACTTGAACGTTTTGAGAATCAAGCCCAATTATTCCATAATGCGCAGATGGGAACGCATGAAATCAAAAAATTTTGTTCATTGGATTCATCAGGACAGAAGGTGCTTGAAATGGCCATGAAGCGCTTAAAATTTTCTGCACGGGCCTATAATAGAATACTCAAAGTAGCACGAACCATTGCAGACTTGGATCAGTCTGAAGCGGTGTTAAGTGTTCATGTAGCAGAAGCCATTCAGTACAGGGGCATGGATAGAATAATTTCTTAATAATGTTTTAAACCTTCATGTAAATCATATATGATACTGGCCATTTCATTGAGTTGGTAGGTGACCATTGCTTTGGGTATTTGAAGGTGAATGAAATTTTGCTGATGGTCATAGATGCTATTTTCTCTTGAAGTAAAAGCCTTTTTATGAGAGGCATTTTCAAGGTCTAAAATTTCAAGATTAATTCGCTGTCTACTCAAAGAGAGCGGCACATATCTCTGGCCATTCCACCATCCCAATAGTGGTTTTAAACCCTGTTTTTTAAGTGCAAAATACAACTGGGCCACCGATTCGTCTAAGTGGTGTTTTTCTAATATTTTTTTTATGTGAATTCGATGCGTCTGGCACAATGCCACTTCATATATTGCAGAAATATCTTTAGATTCTTCCCTACTTATTTCACATTCATAGCAGATCATAATACGTTTTTTTTTCTAAGATACACCAATGTTTTCTCGTGACTATGGGGTATCGATTAACGGCATTTAAAATCGATTAACGGTTAGACAACTCTAAAATCACTCCTAAAATGATAGTTTTTAAATGAATTGAATATGATAAAAATATAGACCTAAGTATCTTTTAATCAATG